CTTACCATTTAATTATCAATTAGTGGAGATTTCGCTTTCAGGATGACAAACAAAATTATTTATGACCCATATTTCTAAATTCTTGTTAAAACTTAACCAGAAAAGTTTATTTTTTGTTCATTTTTATTAATCATGTCTAGCGCTACAACCAGGTCCTCCACTGCCAAGGTAATCAAGCTTAATTTAGAAATTATTATTTCAACAGTTTTGATGAAAATGTTGTTAATATCAATACTTTATGCGATTATGTAAATGCCAAAATTTCAAAGTTTTAAAGCATGAAAAGGGATTAAAGTTTTGTGAACCAGATGATTTTCCAATTTTGCTAGTAAAATTATAATGAACAAGCTTTAAATATACGAAAAGAAAAAAAAAACAACGTGTTTTCCCATTGATTGTTATGTCGTTAATTTCAGAGATAACTTTTTTATGATGTTTATAAAGGTCAACATGTAATACAGGAATACTGTACCTTTTGAAAAATTACAGGGTTTGAATTCATATTATAGTTTGGGTGACCCCCTTTTATCCATTTACATCATGTTACAATGTCACCATGGTGTTGGGGGTCAGATTGTGCAATATAAGATGTGTGATACTCTATATCTGAGTTCACATTTTCTGAACCCCATTTAGTAAACTGTGTTTTATTTCTTTCATCATTTACTTAATAAATGACATATATTTCACTTCTACATTATGCTCTATGTCTTTGCCTGCTTTTAACAAAAAAAGCTCAGTCGTTCAGCAGGAGAACTAAGGAACATAATTTTTTTCAATAGAATAACATTAATTTCAGAGCAGGAATTTAATGAGTTACTCAAGTATTCTATAAGTACAATGAAAATTGTTCAAAAATAATCCTTGTTAAAAATCTCACACCTCATATTAAAGCAAAGAAAAATTCAATTTTTTTTTTAGAAAAAAATAAATGCAGTTGAATTTGATATATCTTTGAATGAAGGATATGGAAATGACAAACAGTATTCAATATCATAATCCATAAAACAATACAAAATAGGAGCGGAGCAAACATGGACCTCTAAAACATCAGAGGTGGGATCAGGTGCCATGAAGGAGTTAGCATCCCCCGCCGTGTGCTCCTTGTCTTGATCAGGATATAACGGTAAAATCCATCGTTAAGTCAGTCTTTAAATAATGGAATAACAATAAGTATTAAATACGTCAGATAGCATTTGACTCAATGATAAGTTGTATTTGCTGACAAGGTCATTGTATCGACCATAGAACTTACGATATGATGACTTTAAACAGACTGCTAATATTCTTGTTTCATTAACTTGCTTGTCAATAATTTACCTCGTTTTAGAAATTGTTCATACTTAGAGCATGCTCTTGTAATTGAATAAACTGAGATATATAAATGCAGGTGATGAAAGAATATTGCTGTATAAGTAAGGGAAGTTGACGATAGAAATATTAAAGTCATCACGTTTATCACAGAGCTTGGTTGTTAAATTACCATTAACGTCCTTTTCAAGTAAAATATCCAAGTATGAAACACATGTTTCAGACTCTGTAATATCTTTTATCTCAAGCTCACCAGGATTTATCGTATCGACATAGGAATGAAAATTACCATTGTTAATTGACAATACGTCGTCGAAATATCTAAATGTTGAGTTAAAGGCCACAGCTAGGGTTTTCTTTTCACGCATAAGATTTTCCTTCGTATGAATATTAGAATAGGTCTGCTAATAACTGAGCGCAATTGGTACCCATGGGAATTCCAATAGATTGTTGAAAGACCTGTTATCCAAAATCCACAAAGAACCTCAAGCATATTTTTGATGTCAATTTCAGAGTACTTGTGTGTGCAATTAGGATGTGTTTTAACAAAATAATTTTTCAAATGACCAATGACCAAGTAAGTAAATTAATGAATTCCAATTTTATTGAAAAAGCAGCTGTCAATGATATCAAAAAGCCTGGACTTTAATTTTTCGTGGGGAATGGTTGTGTATAGAGTTGAAAAGTCGTAAGTTTTTAAGTTGTTGAATATGGTAAAATCTTGTGATTTCAAATTGTCCAAAAGTTCTTTGGAATTTTTGAGAATGCACATCTGATTCACACCACTTCGTGAATATATTATTGCACAGTACTCTTGAAACAATAACTGCGGACCAAGAATTAACGCAAGGAGAGTTTGTTATTCAAGATTCACGACAATGTCGTAGAACTGCATTTAAATATATCTTGCATATCCAAATTATAATACAAAGATCTTCAATTTTGTAATTGTTTTGTGCTATCCAGCAAATTGCTTGGGAAAAATGATCGAAGATCTTTGGACTTGATCTACATCCAAAGGATAAACGAGGTGTAATAATAATATATATTTCAATTTATCAAAAAGATAAAAATAATCGTTACATATCCCAAGATCCTTCTTTGAAGTATAAAAATAAAAATTACACATCCCAATACATGTACTCTAGTTTATCTATGTTAAGAAATGATTATTGTTTAATTCATATTTTTACCCCTCTCCCTTCCAAAAAATGATTATTCATTATATTTTTAACAGTCAGTCGACGAGTTCTACTACTGGTACTTTGTATAGGTTAAAAGGAAGATGTTTAAGCTGATTTGTACTATATCAAACAGAGTGAAAACCTATATTCCTATACTCTAATGTGTAAATAATATGTACGAGTAGTGTTTCCTTATCCTAACAAAAATTTACTACAGTCTCTATGCTACATGTATATGCTACAGTAAGTATAGTATATATCCACATATCCATATATATCCATAGTATATTAACAGTTAACTATAGAAAAAATACGTTGATACTTTGATTAACTATGAAATATTACTCTTATTTTTGAGATTTTAAAGTTTTTTGGTAATTTAATGATTATAAACGATAAAGGTCAATTAGCATTTAAATTGAATGACAAACGGGATGACTTCTGCTTATTTTTGTAGAAAATATTCCACTTTCATCTGCTTTTGGTGTTTATGTGGTGCTTTTAACTATTGTAATAAGACATACACTTTTTATGCAATCAATCAACATTTTAAATTAGTATGCATTAAAAAACTATTTTGCTGAACAATTCAGTAAAAAGCATACCAAGAAAACAAAACGAAAGGCGTTGTTCTTATATTAAAGCTCATACAACTACAAATATGCATTTGGACATTTAGTGTCGAAATTGTTAAGTCTAGAAGAGATAATTTTTTTTAAAGTTATGGCATTGGTTTGTTGTAAACTCTGTGACCGAATTGTTTACATTTTGTGATATCTTTCTAATCCCTGGCTTCTGTTTTCGTCCAATTGTTAACCGTGTACCTGCAAAAGATACAAAACAAATCAAGCCTGAAATGGGACAGGCAGATTAAATCGCACGCATCTAAATTTAAATATGCTGCAGATTGTCACAATTGGTGTTGATAACACAAAACCTTGTATTAATTAGGGTAATCTAGTCAGAAAACAATGTGTTTAAAAGTCTGTGTACGGGTATGTGACAGTTAGTGGGTACAGTCGATGGAATCAGTATTTGTGTTTGGTCCTATGTCCTTCTGAAGGTTATATGATACATTGTCAAAAATGGCTACCTCGAGAGAGAATGTGGATGAAAGGGTTCTTAGACTATGGGTATGTCTGTATACTTCATACCTCTCACTTATATTTTTTCATATGTAACCATGTATTAATTTTTTTTCAATAAAATGTGTTTTCATTTTCCTTGCTCAAAGATTTAATCCTTAAAGTAAGACATTGTTTACATCTCTTCAAGAAATAAACTTATTTCTGATTTTTGTCTTATCTGAATTTGCAATACAAAATCATTTAACTTATATTGTCTGCCATGTTTCATACCAATGTAATGTCATTGTTTCTTCATACAATTTTGACATATTGCATCTATCTGATCAATACAAGGTACACACGGCAGGTTTGACACCGGTCGACAAGGGATGCTTTCTCCTTTTAGGCACCAATTTCATTTTCTTCTTCTGGTGTTTTCAGGGAACCATAGTTTTCTCTCCGTTCAGAATTCGTATATTCTTTAATACATTGTGAGATTGACGACGTTTTGTTATCCTCGCTTTAACTAACCTTCTGTATTTTTATTGGCTTTTTGTTTTATTGTCTTATTGAATGTAGAAACTGCTTTTCTTACGTTACTGCATAAATATACCGGTATGGAGATAACGAACAGTATTTAAGCTCAAAAGCCCATTAAACAATACAAATTTGGAGCAGAACAATTAAGCACCTCCAAAAAAAACAGTTGTGGGATCAGATGACATGGAGGCTAGGCATCACCTGCCAAGCGGTCACACCAATTATGCTTCTTGCTTCTTGTCATGATTGGAAAATAACTGAGTTAACATTCTTTTTCACTTCTATTTTAATTGCCTAGGTTTTGTACCAAAATCGCCATGAGATTGGCGATGAGCATAATATCTGCAAAACATTTTCTTGCTTTGAAATTTTATTTTGTTTTAAGTTTTTAAGATAATTTCTTGATAATCCTTTTGCGGCCAAATTAATTTTGTAAAAAGAAAAAAAAAGTCACCCTTGTTATTCATATTAATAGCATATAAATAAATTATTCACTGACATTCTGATTTCTGTGACTCTCATTTTTTACTTTTGGACAAAGTTTCCAAAAAGAAAATCTTTATATAATCATTGTTTAATCACTTCCTCGCCCTATTCAACATTCAATTCATTTGTATGCATCAAATGTGTCGATACATTTAATAACTGCTTGTTTAAAGTAAAAGAAAATTTTACAAAATACAATGAACCTCACACGGAAAAGAAAACGTGTGTTATATAAATGAAACTCTCTGATATTATTGTTAATAATACGTCTGTTATATATAATTAATTAAATGTAAGTAATGTTTAATTTCTGGATCACTTCTGTTCGTTTTCGTGAATTGATCTTTTAATTTTGAATCTTTTACTTTTTAAAGTCACTCCTTCATTCAATGTACAATTTGTAATCACTTAACAAAAGTACAAAAATAATGGGGTAAAGGTACGACCTTCCAGTGCTCTTCTTCCAGCCGAAACAAACAATTAACACACAATTAATTAGTGAAAATTAAGATGAAGGTGACACCTTCGTGTGTTCTGTATGGTTCTGTATGGACTTTATTAGACATGTATTGTCTATGTATTACCAACAGGAACACAGGTAACAGGTCCCACCTTTCATTTCTGTCACACTATACCCTCCATTGTCTCTGGTCTCCTATGGTCGCTATAATTTGGCACACAAATTCTAATAGACCATTGTTTTGTTTTCTCTTTCTGGTTTTGTTCCACTGAATCCATTGTGTTGGTAACCCGATAACTTGTGTTGTGTGTCAATCGACTTGAGTAGGTATTGAACTAGAAAACAACTTTTCACCTTGTTACTGTTCAGTTCTATCATTGCATGTCTAGTGGATTAATATAAAAATGAGTAAATTACCTGTAAGTATGACAGTTTATTCAATTGCAAGCATTTTCATATTTGTCTGAGACATATTAAAAGTAGCCAATGGGGAGAAAATCGGACCAAAATAATCATTATTTGTGAATCTTTGCTCAAGGAATAGGATATATTTTACTGTCGTGGAAAACTAAAGGTAACTTAACCATTTCTTTATTAGATGGCGAATTACAAATCAAAGGTCTCCTCACTGCAGCAACATCTTGGAGATCTTTTGACACAAAAGAAGTCCCTTCATTCCAGAGTTGTGGCGGAGGAATTTGAGAAATTTAAATTAACTGCAAGTAGGGTACGTATTCTGTTTATTCGCGGGTGTGAAGCGTTTTACTTCATGTGCCTTATGTATTATCAAAAAAATTTGATTATTATTCTGATTCATTTTGTCATTCAATTTTTAGCTTCAATTTGATTATTATTCTTAGATGAACTTTTTTCCCAATTTGAAAATATAATTTTGTCATTCAATCAACTTTCATTTATATTTAATCCGCTATTTTATTACCCCACAATCTGAAAAAGATGATTTTTTTTAAACTGAAGCATCCCATGGTCATTTCCTCGTATTTACTCAGAACTTTTTTCTAATCTATTGGAATTCCCAATTTGCAAATATATTTCATATGAAGCAGAATTTGTGAAAAATCTTATGTGGTCTCGATATATCCCAGTGAAGTCGAAAAAAGGGAAATAAACGACAACGCAGAGTCTTCTACATCTGTTTCATAATTAGATGTTGTACTGACTATAAAAGATACCAAAGGGACACATAAATTAAATGACAAAAAGACATTGATGGTAATCTAACACCAAGCTTTATGATAAACATCAACTTTTCTTATTCATATTGCAAATATACCTCCACCTGCATACGGAGTGTATATATTTATGACCCTACATATGAACAATTTCTAAAACGAGGTAAATTATTGACAAGCAAGTTAATGAAACAAGAATATACCCACAATCTGATAAAGATGAATTTTTTAAACCGAAGCAGACTACTCTCAGTTAAGTTGATATCACAAGGATTTCAAAAACCTCGTATTAACTCACCGTTTTATAAATTCTACAGTATTATAATGACATTAATTGCAAGGAAATATAATCAATTATTTTAATCAATTGTAATATTTTCTTGGTTCATGGAAACGTTATTTCGAGAGTAACTCGCATTCATTCACAAAATAATTGTTTTAAATGTTTGTGGGGATGCTAACTCATGTATATTTCGAATATAATGGTGACACACGAAATCTACATTAGTCTCCCACGAACATTGATGTTTCCACAGTACCTACCAATTGTTAATCCTTTTTTGACTACGGAGTATTCTGTCTATCAAATTTATTCATAGGGTTACAGAGGATTTCTCCGCTTGTCTCGGAATGCTCGCTCCCATCTTGAATTTCTAAACCAATTTTTCGATAGACCAATTTTACCTATCTTCAATCTTCTAATCCTTACTTTTTGACGTAGGTTATGAGTGGTGATGCAACGCCAGCTGACGTTAGACAAACTCTAATTGGTCTGGAGAAGGCATTGAAAAAGGAAGGACTTTTCAAAAACGTCAAATCGGGATTCACTCATCTTAAGAAAGAGTTTTTATCCGTAAGTAGTTGTCCATATACTAATTCAGAATACTGGACTCATTCATCCAAGCAACGAGAACGAAGAAACGATAAAGAAACTATCATTCATCTAAATTTGGAAAAAAAAATCACCTCATATAAAAAATGCTTATGTTTTTTTTTTAAATGATATCACAAAGCATTAATTTGCGGTTATCTCATAACCAACAAAAGATGGACCCTTTCCCTAATGGTATATTTGTTCGCTTCATATACTTTTTTCATATTTGAAATACTTATTTTTTCATACTTAGAACTCCACAAACAAGACAATCAGTAAGCCTCCATCAGATCCACTGGTAGAGAGACCTAAAAGATCCACCACTTCTGTGATCGGGGACACAAAGCGAGAAGCAGAAAAGAGGTAGGGCATATAAAGTTTTAGCATGGTAGAAAGTGAGAAAGATGGAATGCGAGAACACACCCAAGTCTCCCAGCGAACTCTAGACTAGCCCTAATCAGTCAAGTAATGTTTGAGGACTCTTTAAATGAATGCAAGAGTCACTTTTATTCGTCGAACACTAGTGCAAGGATAAACTCTGACCTTTTGGGTTAGAGAGACTTTATCTCATTAGTTGAATAGTGATCAAGAATTGAGTGACGTAAATTTTACGTCATATTGAGCTGATTGCACGAATATTACGTAAGCATAACTAGGGACGGTAAAGTCTACCTCCTAAAAGATATCCGTTATTGCTACTGGACTTTGCAATCCTTTTAAAGATATATAAATAAACCATAAATTAGCTGTACTTTTGTTGTAAAAGTCTCATGAAGTGACATGTGCTTCACAATAAAGTATCAATTACAAACATGCGATCAGCTTTCAGGTCTTTCTCGTCTATGATATCAATTTCTTTCGTACAAACAAAAGTAAGACAATGCTCAAACGACAATTTAATATTGGCGTAAAATGTTTAACCGAGACAAAGGTTCAATGACTTAACTTTTGGTAGAAACATTAGAAACAATATTTTTTCTTTTTCAAGGATAAATGAGCAATGCACAGCAATACGTCAATTCACTCAATAAGACATCAATCAAACAACACAGAATTGTGATACAATCATGTAGTGATAACCTGCTGGCTATTTCCCCACAATATTCTTTACATTTTTAAAATCTAATTTTAATTTCATTTTGTTCTTTTTTGTATAAATGATTTTATTATTTCGTGTTACTATTGAAGTGATTCTCAGTGTAAATACAAGTATATTAAACCTTACCTTTATTTTTTCAGTCCAATGAGCAATATTTCCCCCGGAAAAAGGCTTCAACAGCTTATTTTAAAAATAACGTCAAGCGCAGTAATACGTTTTTGATTAACTCATTGTGACACAAGTTAACAATTTTGTTAATCCATGTTGCATAATTTGTTATTGGGTTTATTTAAAATTTGATAACTCTTATAATGAACAAGATAAAAACTAATTTTGTTAATCCATGTTGCATAATTTGTTATTGGGTTTATTTAAAATTTGATAACTCTTATAATGAACAAGCATGAACATTTGCTTTGAATTTTCTGTTTAAATACAATGAGTTTTATCTAATTTAGGTATTAAATCTGTGACTACTAATTATAGGCACTTAATAATTTTGTTTTATTTGAATCTGTGCTTGAAAGGACGTTCCATGTTAACATTTTATATCTCTAATTTGATATTTTTAACCATTTCAGGCTACAATATTTATCTTACATGTACTAAAGTCTGCATTCAATTAATATATCTGCAAAGCTTTGGTTTCTTCATTGTTTTTCTCGATTCCTTATTTAAAATTCAGGAGGAAATCGTCTCTAATTGTTATGCTTATTATTTTTTTCTACTTACCAGACGAATCCAGGCGGTAGGTGTGGGCAATGATGAAGTGAAGAATCTGAATAAAGCGGTTGGACGACTGTTTGATCACCTTCGAATACAGAAACTGTCAGAAATAGCCCGCGAAAGTACCGGCATCACACATGGACGCTCACCAACGACACTGGCGAAGAAAACAGACGAATCAGATGATTTCAAGGAGATAATTAAGAAGGTTCGGGGTCTGGAGAATGAACTTCTGAGACAAAAGGCATCACAAACTTCAGAATTAAAAAGGTGAATGAACAAGAAGTTCCGAACTTAGAACATTAGCTATACAAATTCAAAAAACAAGCATCTAAAGAAAGATTTAACAGTAAATGCCAATAGAATGGATGTCCAAATAAAACTTAATCCAAACGCATTTATGGTCTAGAAAGGAACTGCTGTTATACTGATTATGTAACTAAATCATAACAAACAGGCATAGCATGGAAAATTCTGAGACAGATTCTGTCATTAAATTGTTCACTCTACTTAGATAACGTTTTGAATGATGACCGGACAAGACAAAGCCATGTATCAGCGTCACAAATAATTACGAATAATTAATGAAATTGGTATAAACTCTATTGTCTGTTAGTTTTGAAGACAAAATTCCATGTTTTCATATATTTTTATTCATATTGGTACAGATTGAGTGACGAAAACAAGGGACTGAGGAATACAATAACAGAGTTACGAAAGGAACAAGAAAAGTAAGCAAGTTTTCATACTCACTATGCATGAGGAGTTTGTAAGTCTTTGATTTTCAGACTATTGTTTTGTCCTTTTGCCTGATAGGTTAAAGGGACTACAACCCATTACAAAGGCAGCCAAGGACAGACAAGTAGAGAAACTAGAGGAACAGTACAATAAACAGAAGCGGGGAATGGAGGGAAAGATCGTGGAACTGGAGTCAGAGCTGCAGGAAAATCTCAATACGTCAGTCAATTTCTTAACTTTATTTTAAGAATATTTAAAGGAAATAATTATAAAAATTATCTGGTGGAATTGTTTCATGTATTAACAACAACAAGCAAGGGACTTTCTTCATAAAATTGATAAATGATTTGCTGATTTTAGCAGCAGGTAAATGTGGTTTAGAAATTTAAGTTGAAACACCAATTAATAGAGGATGGAGGTGCTATTTCGCAATATAAATTTGTTGAATTAATATCAACGAATACTTTCACCATTTACCTTGCAATTAAATCAAATAATAAAAATGTATGTTCTTCGTAACAATCTGCAGAACATTACGAGAGAAAGCTGAACTAGAGCAGATGATAGTCGATGGCGTATCAAAACTGAAAACCTCGATTACGTCATTGCACAGAAGAATTTGTGGAGAAAAACCCGAGAGGACTACCACCACTCTGACGCTAGATGGCGTGACGGACGAGAAGAAGAGCATCGACATCCTCCTCCACAAGATCACGCAGATAGAGGAGAGCGCCAAACTGTTGGAGGAGAAGAACAGCAAACTGGGAATGTGAGTAATAAGAGGAACGGATCATAGATTTAATGGTTTATTTCTCATCTACGAGGTTAATATTCAACGAAAATCTATACATGTATGCAACAACATTATTATCATCATCACATAACGTTTTATATCGCCTAGAAAAAAAAGAAAGATTTTTACAATCTACAAAAAATTTATTACAACGACTTAATGATCTTATTGATGCTTTTCAATATTTCATGTGTTATTGAAACTGGCTGCCTGATTTCATTCCAAAAAACCTAAACGTATACGGAAATCGTTTAGCAGTTTCATTCTTAGAGATCATTTAAAAACCTTTGATTATTTTTTGACATTGAGAGGGGCTCGATACCAGGAATGTTTACTATTATTGACTGATCAATTACTTCTTTACATAAAAAAATTGACATGCAAAACCAGATAAACAAGCGTTTAAAGAGATAAAAACAATTGTCTTGCAAATTACGACCTACCTAAAAGAACACTTAACATATGTTTTTTAAATGTTAACACGTCTTGGTGATGCTATAAAATTATTCACATAACAAACATAACAAGCGGTTTTTTCCATAATCTGCAAATATTTTAATTTTTAAAAAATACAATAAAAACCATCTACATGTAATTTTAATTTTCAGGTGAAACAAAAAAAAAATTAAGTCATCTTTCCTATATTAAAAAATAGACTTGTTATAACTTGAAAATTGTAGAATTCTAATTGAGAAAGATGACGAAATTGGTAAGCTGAGGAACTCCCTGCTAGAAATTTCGGAGGAGGTTAGCAAGATGCATGGATCCATAACAACTCTGGACAAAACTTCAAGACCTTCAAAGAATGAGAAAACCACTTCCGGTGAAATGGACACTCATGAGACAAAGACTGTACTTACCAAGTTACAGCATGTCAACACAAGTATACAGCAGTACAAACGGTTAGTAGTTTGCACACCTATATTTGTATGAGGTGATGATTTAACTCGCTGGAAAGTAGTGGTAAATAAATTTGATGTTAACACTTATAGTAAATTATCATGATATTCACCGAAATATGACTGAAATATTGTCGAATGGTGTAAAACAACAATGCTCAGTCAATCTATCGCATACTTCTTGCCATATTTCACGCATGCTTTGCATTTCTTATCTTGAACCTTGATTACGTGAAGTATTTGACAGACATGATGCTGTCAATAAAATTAAAAGGTACCGTAAGCAGAGTTTTTTTTTCAAAGGTGAAGTAGATTAAAAGAAACTTTTTGGTTAGCTAATGTGTAGAAATAAAGGTGTTACCAATCTTGTAAGCCCACTTTATTTCTATATGATTTAAATGATATCTCTTTCAGGATTCTGCAAGAAAAAGAGAAAAGCACAGTTAATCCTAAAAACAATGATGACTTAATCCCACTAAAACAACAGATTAATAAACTGTACGAAGACTTCGTGAAAGATAATCCAACGGTGATTGATGCTGCAGAAAAATCATCACGTGATGATTCTCCCAAGACCCATCGTGAGAGATCAAACGAAATCAATCAACTCTTACAAAAACTTAGTCGGGTTGAGAAAGCTTGTAACGCCCTCAAACAACAGAACGAGCCTCCTGATATGTGAACAGATTTCACGATTATCCAACTTTGCAAGCACAAATCTGAACAACTTATTAAAAACAGATTTTCATATCAATCACGATTTTGTTCAAACAAGACGCTGCGTAAAGTCCATTTAAGAACTTAGTATGGTCGACTTGGTATTTATTTGTGCTAATAATTGCGCAGAGCTTTTGTTGTTTTAGCTAAAAAAGACCAATTTTGAGTTCTAAGTTAAAAAAAAGATCATTGTTCAAGTACACTTTTTAATGATCTATAAAGTTTTCATGTGTTCTACTTTTTTATTGTCATCTATTACATTATGTTCACTATTTTTTTTCATTCATTACTTTTGCCGGATTTATTGTAAATTGCCTTTTAACAATTGTTATCTTTTATAAAGAACAATATTCATAAAGAACGAGGCAAATTGTAAAGATAAACTCGGTGATGTTGATACTTTTGATGTGTTTGTGTATATTTTTTTTTTAGACAACAGCTCGGTAGCTGGCTTTTTCCTGACAATGATAATTTAGTCTGAAACGCAGTATATATCTCTCAGCAGACTCTAGTTATGGTTATGTTTTTTATGAAGAATCACATTTATTTTGAAGCAATGTAATACTTGTAAAATTAAAAAAGGTGAAACTTTTTGTGATTTTTTTTTATTTATCTAAACAGTAAGTAGATACAGTTCAGAAATGACGAAAGGATGAATTTCTGGGAAAACATGTCTAACTGTCGTTAGTCTTGGCTGACTACTCACAAAGTGGTATATTCTATGGTATAACATTTTTTGTCGTCTTTCCTAATCACAATATTTCCTATTGCTGACAGCTTCACTATTCTAGAAATCGATCGGAATTTTCTTTAATCTTATTGTTCATAAAACAGCTGAAAATGCGTAGATAAATGCATTAATAAGTCGATTTTCCTAATGCAAAGTATTAGAACAATAATATATAGTTTAAAAAGTAGAAGCCTGAAATTACACAACATTTCAAACGTTGTATCAGATGAAAGCTGGTCACTTTCTCTGTTCATAGTTAAGCAATATCTGTTAATACTCCGACCAGTTTTTATCACCAAATCGATTTATTAAAGACGAGTCCATTGCGGTAAGTCGGCTTTTAGCTGAGATTTTACAGAATTAATTCTGTGCTTCCACTCCACACATTCCAAAACTTAAGTAATTCAATCTATATCCATTCTGTCCATGGCAGCACAAAAATGTAAGTAATTTGTCTCTGTATTATAGCAAAATTGTTTATTTCCATTGTAAGGAGATATTTTGCTACATATCCAGTACTAACCGCGTTTCCTTTTCTGGAAATTTGACTGCAAGTAAATACTTAAGTTACAATGATGTCATAAACGCTCTAATCGTTCTTAATCTCTAAATTATGAACATTTAGGGTATAGTTAAATATATAGTCAGGGGCTAAATGAGAAATCCTAACAGCTAGTCTTGTATCATTTACAAAAAATATTTTAAGAAGTAATGAAATAATATTAAGCTGTTAAATGAAATATGGGAATAACTAAAAGTATTCAAGCTCAAAAGTTTATTCAAACAATATAAATAAGAAGAAGATCAAACCGCACTAAAACATCAGAAGTGGGATCAGGTGAACTGATGGAGTAAGAATCCCCTGCTGACAGGTTGCACCTGCCGTTTGCTACTTTTAATGCATGATTGAAAAAAAAACGGAAAAAATCCAAAGACAATTCATTGTGTAAATAATGGCCTAACAATAACTGTAAATTCCAGTGAAGTGTGCCGTTTTGCATTACATAAAGATCTTTTTCGACAGACGCGCCCTGCGTAAACGATTCACGCCCCCGCTGTGTGATTGGTCAACTCAATTTATCAACAATGACACAGAAATCGTCTGTTGCACGAGTAACCAATCAGAGATAAGAAGAAACTTTTAAGAAGAAGTCATAAAGCTTGCGGTTGGAAGGCGCGTACTAGTTACCTTGAGCGCAGCTGTCATTATACGTTGTTACGTAATGCAAAACGGCACATTTAATAGTATGAAAAACATCACTCAGCATTTCACTTAGAGATGTATTGTATTCGCTGACAAGGTCATTGTATCCACTGTAGAAGTTACGAAATGATGACTTTAAACAATATATCATTTTTTCCTTTTTTTTCTTTGTCAGTAACTTACTTTGTTTATGAAACTGTTCATACATAGAACATGCATTTACGTATCGAATAAACTGAGAGATATAAACCTCGAGTATAGGTGATAAGGGTGTATTGATGCATAGGTAAGGTAAAGGACAATAAAAAGTTAAAAATCATCATAAAGCTTTCTCGTTAAATTGCAAATAAAGTATTTTTCAAGTAAAACATCCAAATATAAAAAAGCTATGTTAGACCCTGCGGTTTCTTTTATATCAAGATCACTGGAATAAATCGTGTTGACAAATGAATAGGAGTAACGATTGATATTTGATAATTGTCAATATGTCTACAGTTGAGGCCCAAAGCAAGGGTTTTCTTCTTTGTAGGATTTTGAATAAATTATGATTCATATGAATACAAAAATAGGACTGATAATAACGCTGCGCTATTGATATCCAGCATCATTTCGTAAGTTCTTTGGTAGATACTTTGTCAGCAAATACAATTTATCATTAAGTCAAATGCTGACTAATGTTTTCATACTAATTTTTGGGCCATTATATACAAATTGAATTGTCAAGGATTTTTCTTACATATTCCGCTCATAATAAGGAGCACACAGATGCTCGCTCATCCATGGCACCTGATCCCACCTCTGATGTTTTGGAGGGCCGTGTTTGCTCTGCTCCAGATTTGTAGTATTTAAGGACAGTTGATACGTTCCTCATAAATACCTAATTTTTCTAAGATTTTTTCATTGAAGTATTGCTACTTTAATATGCTTACTCACAAAAAATTGAGGTATCTTACAAAACATTTGTGCAAGATAGCAGAGGTTTGTGTTTCTTATATAATCCTTATGGGGAAAAAAACTAAATCTTCCAAAATCAACCTTTTTAGTGTTTCATTTTTTTTCTATGATTAGAAATTTAGAAAATTTAGAAAAAAAGAATGTTTTTTAAAATTTTGAATATTTTTCATACATTACGAAAATATACAAAACAAAAATTTGATTTTAATGGAATATACACAGGAATGAAAGTGAAATATTGCTTAAAATGTAGAGAGCTATCTTATAGTTCTGACCTTTATAATTTTTATTTTCAAATAATGACTTTTATATACTCTTTGAGCTTGTATACTGTTCTTTATTTCTATTTATATCATGGGAATTATTAAATATTTATTATTTGCATATAAGATTTATTGGATTATTAGAAAATCAATACAAACTTACATATATTATTATTATTATTATATTATTAATATATAGGTCTTCAGATGGCTTTTATAAAAATGTTTGAACAAAATAATTTTGCAACTGACCACTGACATGCTTAGTAAAATTGCGAGTTTTATTTATGGAGTCAAAATCTGAAGTGTTTTTTTTATTTCTGATTTTAATGAGAAATATCTTATATACACAGGAATGAAAGTGAAATATTGCTTAAAATGTAGAGAGCAGTATTAAACTTATAGTTCTCTTAATAAATTCCACTGACTTACACAATATTGTTGTAAATAATTTTTATTTTCAAATAATGATTGACAATGTACTAGTATATACTCTTTGTTTTCCAGACGTGTTCGTTACTATGAATTTTTCCACTGACTAGCCTAGTAAGAATATTAAGGTTTTAAATTTTAGTTAATCTTAGATTCTAGCCGTTATTACTTAGGAAAAGTCAATATTACACATCAAATTTAATTGTCAATTTTTGTTTCTGGATTTTAACCCTCTTGCAATAGACACTACGGATTATCATTTAATTACTGAAGATGTATAAGCTTCTTAAACACTATATGACTTCCCTTTTGCGGTTTGTTTATTTTATTATTGTTGGTTGATTGGAAACTTCCTTAAGAAGAGATATAAATATTTTGTAGATTCAAAAACATGTCTATAGATAAAAAGATAGAAGAAACATGTAAATTGCTGTACTTAAAAATGACAAATAGTACATAAATGACAGTTATTAGGAAATCGCCAGAAGATATTGAATGTCAAGCATGTTAAAGTCTATCTTTTAAGTTTCTCTAATAATTTTACGACAGGATTTCATTTTGTGGGAGATCATAAAAATGATAAAAAGGTAAAAAGGAAGAAATCACAAATCATCTCATTTCTGATAGAGAAAGCACTAATTTCATTGTAAATTGCATTTATTCGAGTTTCCTTATTATTTCATATATACCCTTATCCTCGCCAAATCGATTCTTAATATCCAACTTTATTCCAATGTAAACGCATAATTCCTTGTTTTACCAGACTTATTACCGCTAAATTTACTTTGAAGAGTTTTATAAGAACATCTTAAGATCGTATTGGTTTCTCACATTTGATAGCTGATACCACACAAAATACAAATGCTAGATACGGCCTTTAATTTTTTTTCGGTAATTAGTGGAAGAAAAATACCTTTTTTAAGTATCTTATTAAGAAGGCAATCTTGCTGCAAGTGAAAATTTGAAGACAGTGATGCACGGTCGATAAGTGGCCTTCTTTCAAACTAGGAAGGATGATTTTTTTTATTGCATTGATTTTGTGCCCCAGGACCATTTCCATTTCTTCAAGAGCTCTAAGTGCTTAAGGAAGTATAAAACTGTATAATTGGTAGCTGTCACCTTTCAGTCCTTTTTCTATCGGCTAAAAGCAAAAATATTTAAGAAATGGGTATTTACTTGTACTCGGATAATGTCACGTTTATTTGTAATATAAGTATCTTCATGGAGAACAAGGATGAACAAAGAAGAAGAAAGTAACTGAAAAAGTTCTTACAATTACTCTACGTAGAATATAATTTTTTAATTAGGATTCCTTACAAAAAAAGAAAGATTTGTTGAATGGAAATTATAAAGAATGTATACATGTATTATTGATGTTATTTTTTTTTAAGTTATAATTATTTTTCGAAGGGCATATACTAAATTTATCCGGAAAGCTTAATCCCGATTCGTTCAATTATTAAATAAATACTTGTACAGGTTACAAAATTATAGATTTCTAGACTTCTGAATTGATCGGATTTTTCTCAGTGTGGATTTATTCAGTTTATCAAATTAACACTCATTGGATGAATGAATTCTATACTGAAAGGAAAAAGAAACGCAATAAAAAAAATTTGACCACATGACGGAAAATTTTGGTCAAAAAAGTTACTGTGCATCAAAATCAGTATTCTTTACTCAACCGTTAAATTTATGACGTCACGTAGGGAAAACGCTGAAATAATTTGATAACACGTGTTTTTCCTCTTGTTGCATTATTTGATGCAGATGAGGTGTGCACATCGTTTTTCAATATTAAGAGACATTATGAATTTATTGCAATCTTGGCACAATTTACGGAAGTTCAATGGGGTCTTGTTTTTGAATTGCCTAATTAATGAAAAAGGCAACAACGGTTTACTAAGCAGTCTCTTGTATTTTCCCCCATAAAACGTTTTAGCCGTTATTAGAGAGGGTGGTGAATTTCAATCAACCGTGACGCTGACGTTAACGCAAAACATCATGTTACAAGCGGGTTATTCATCCTGCCATCTCTTAAATCGCCACCTTATTACACAAAAACATCCATTTATAGTGTACACGATTATAATCATAAAATTCATACGAAATTTGAAAGAAAAAATTCCGCAATTTGGTTTTTTGAGCCAGTCAACTTACTGTTGTATTCCTCTCAAAGGCGCATGCGCGCGTCGTATGACTTATTTTTTTGCTGGTCAATGCAAAAATAGCCAGGTTTAAAAGATAAACACTCTGATGAAATTCCATGCAAAAGAGAAATAAGACTCTGACAAATGCACGAGATGGACATGGAAGATAATGAGAGTTTTCAATTTTCCCTTTTGGGGGGTATCGTCATTTGAGCTTCAATAACTCATGAATAATTAGACAAAATCACACGAAAATTTGGTTATATCTTCTTGATTGATGATTTTAAAGATGTGTTAATAAAAAGCATTATAAGAAAAACAAATTTAATTCACCTCAAAAGTTTACCCTGCGTTTCTTTTTCCCTTCAGTATAGTTAGATATGTAACAATAAAAAAAGTTAAATTCTGATTTTTAAAAAAGCTTCCTTAAGAATGTTCTTTCTGTCTAATTTTTGACTAAATGAAATATTCAGTGAATTTGTAAAGGATTTTAAGGATCATTTTTTTCTTTTCCTCTCATTATTGTCAAACATGGCATATGAATAATTTTTCAAATATGAATATCTTTATAATGTGACTTATACTTTACTTATGCACTAATATATTTTCATCACCAACGGGGTTCATATCTTTCAGCTGATTCAAAACGCAAGAGCATGCTCTACGTATGAACCATTTGTAAAACGAGGTAAATTATTGACAAACAGGTTGATGAAAAAAAAGAATATAAGCAGTCTCGTTCAAAGTCATCATTTCGTAAGCTCTATGGTCGATACTATTACCTTGTGAACAAATACAATTCATCCTTGAGTCAAATGCTGAATGACGTTTTTTCCTTATCGTTAAGTCATTATTTACACACTGAATCGTCGATGGATTTTTCCGTTATTTTCCATGGTCATGTAACCTGTCGGCAGGGGATGCTTGCTCCTCCATGGTACCTGATTTCACCCTTGATTTTTTATTCATGTTTGTTCTGCTCTAATTTTGTATTGTTTAATGGACGTTTGAGCTTGAATACTGTACGCTATCTCCATATTTATCATGATAAACTGAGGTTTGAAAAGTAGCAGCGACTATATTTTTGGCGAAATAGTTTTTCTTTGTTTATGGTTATTTTGTCTATTATTTGTGTGGGCTTTTACTATTATTTTTCTCATTTTTGTAATCTTCTATTTTAGTTTTTTTATATAGATGGAGAATTTCTGGAATAAAATCGAAAATTTCTATAATCATAGTAAACAGACTAATTTACACACGAGAATTAAAAAAAAAAGCCCTGACATTTTTTCCTGTGAATGTAATACCAAGATGAAAAGGAGTGAAAAACAAACCAATAAAATATGACAATTTTTACATTGTGAATGTATCGCTTTAATATGACAAGATGTATTAATGTAACGACACTTAAGGCGCAATTAACATGTCAGTCCATCAAGCTTCCTTTTAATCTAATTGTGAAATGCATGAAATTTAGGTTGTTGTCATGGAAACAAATATGTGTACTCACGACATGTTTTTCTGTATTCTGGGTTTCTTTGTGGTAACCATAAAAGCTCGTTGTTTTTGAAACAGGAAAATTGGGAAGATTTCTTTTGCACTCATTTTTTATTTTATAGTTTTTTTAAACGAATCATCAAAAATAAATTAGACGAGTTTTTAAAGCAATTATAATACATCTCAGATAATTATTCTATTTCTTTGAATTTTGATAAGACTAACAATAAATTAAGTAAAAAAGTAAATCAAAATCAAAAAGTGTGATTAATAGGTACCAATCACAGCACTGTACATTCCAAACACTCCATGTACAACAATTATGACAAAAATAATTAAAACCTATTGCAAAAAAGAAAGGAAAACGTTAAGAAAAGCAAGTTACACAGTAGAACAACGCATTACAGCAAGTGTCCCCATAACTTCTAAATACCCTCTCTTATCGATTTAGTGTTTTTAATCTTTGAAAGACATGAAAACCTGAACGTGAAATTAGTCTTAGCCCTGTACTTAAGCAAATACTGTTCTACGAATGTTTTTTTCATCACTTGAAGCAAAACTGTCCAACGGCAAAATACTATAAACCTTCGTGAATCCTAACAAAATGTTCTAAATTGGTATCAAATGACTTCTTCAGGAGAAATGAATCTTCGGAATGTTCTTACAGCATCATTTTCATCCAGGATTTCCAAATGATAGATCAGACTTTTCGGCCGTGAATCTTTCGAAGTATGATAAATTCCTACTACATCATTTTGTGGTTAATTACAATAAGCTTTTTTCCTTGCAAATTTGCCTGAAAAATAATGAAATTTATTAGATTTGTTATTCAGAAAAGTTTATATTATCAATCTTCCGTAAAACAACGTGCTTCAAGCAGTCTCTTAATAATGGATCTCTATTCATTGTAGATTTGCAGCCGTCCAGAGCCGAGATTTCAATCAATGCACCACGTACGCACACTATATTTTACAACAAAAGGAGGAGAGCTTAATTATAAGGTATGTGAAAAATTTTAATTTACTTAAAGATAATATTATTATTTTCTTGCCTGGTTGTCGATTATTATTATTATTTTTTTTTTTTTTGATAATGAATTTATTTTTTGTAAAGATTGTAAAAATTGCATAAAATTCTGCAAATTATCATGAGTAAAGCTTAACGGATTTTATTTTTCTAAAAAAGGAAGCGAATGGAATGCCATTAATATTTTGTGTATTTTCCAGTTCACTTTTTGGAGGAATTGGACACTTATTTTGTGTAAATATGTGTTATAAAACAGACTTTTAATGTGCAGTAGAATTATTGCCGGAACATTACACGAATAATCGTACCTCGAAGGAAAGCAATGATGCCTTTTTATCATTTGTTGAAAAAAATCTTAAACCAAAAGACCTTGCAGATGTATTTTTGAAAGCAATGAATTCGACTTTTAATTTGTCAGTTTTGTCAAATGAAAGTACGTGGACACAAGACCACACGTTTTTCAATGTCATTGTTTTCATTGACGCCCTGTCCTGCGTCTTCCTGGTGTTCGGGAACTTTTTTATCATTGCTCTCATCCGGAAGAAACGGCTTCTGGGAAGGTCAACAAATGTATTCATCTTTTCTATCGCAGTGGCGGACTTCCTGAATGGTACAGTTGCCATACCAACGCACATATTATTTCTGTATCAAAAGGAGACGACCTACTTATGTAAGTGTTTCCGCTTTATGAGCTTCCTGTCGAAGACGGTGGTTCCCTATACTATCATGTTTATGACTGCGGAGAAAACAATGCGGATTCTGTGTCCGACCCGTGAATTCGTGACCGTCGCCCGATGCATGTTCTGCACCAGTCTACTGTGGTTCTTTTCGTCCTCTTTCAACATTTGGAGCGTGGTCCTCTTTACATCTGTACCGCTTTCTCCCCCCAACGTTGATCTTGGATTTGAAGAAAGTTACAAACAATGTGTTCTAAATAAGCGATTTTCCTTTCTACATCAGTACTTTCTCTTAATGGACCTGTTTATATTGTTTTTGATACCCTTAACAGTTGTGATTTCGCTGTTTCTGGTACTAGTCATCAAATACTTCACTATTCTACGGGAGAGGATTCTGACGTATTTCTTCGTTGTTAAGCTTTTACTGGCTCTATCACTCAATGTTCTAATTACACACACTCCTTATCAAGTCATTACTTTCGTAGAAAACTCTCCAGATTTCCGATCCCGTGAATCCTTCTTCCTCTCTAATCTCTTAACCAGTCTGTTTTTCACTCGAGGGATCTGGAACCTTGTGATATATGGATACTTTAAGCATTATGTTTGTCAGAAACAAAATCTAGCCAGTATTCGGGCAGGGAACTGTCCTCCTAAAACAGAATCAGATAGGTTACCATTACAAAGAAACAGACAAACCATAACACGGCAGAGAAATGTGATGTAATTCTAAATTTATATTTCTTTAATTGTAAGTTTAAAAAAAAGTTCATCTTGGATTGTTTTTTTTCTAACTCTCTTGTGATCTAAGAATGAAATAAAAAAAAAATGGTTACCTGCCTTGATTTACTTTTACATCTTCTAGTGATACACAAAATATTTATCTGATCAATAAGCATTAATCTGCTTTCTGTTTAAAGAGAAAGGTAATTTTAGTGGAAGATATGAAGAAATTGTGGATTTTATATTTCTATCAATTTAAAAAAAATACATTTAGTGTGTGAAAGAACATTGTATAAATTAAAAAATGTATATTGATAAAGCCGACTGTGGAGAACAATAGTTAGCGAGCCAAGGAAAGCGTGAATATTGGACTTCTACAGTAGCTATTTCATTGTTTTGAATTCAAATTCAGCAATATCTTTTTAGTATATTATTTAATGTTAAAATCATCCAACATCATCATGCACACCATGTTTACTGAAGTCCTAGTCAAATTCAGTGAGAGAAACGGCCAAAAAAAAAATAATTAAAATAAAATAAATTAAAAAAAAATGGCAATTGTATTGATTTTGAATTTCTTTAAACATTATTTGTGAGATATATATAGGAATATCAGGCATGTAGTTTCTACAATGACAATTTAATAAAAAAAATTGTTTGACGAGCACCAAGAAAGAATGCGTCCCCTAGGCAGCCCCCACTTTGATTCTGTGGTTCTAATGTCACCGACTAGAAGACGGGTGCAGGTGAAATAGCTTTTCAGAAGTAATTGCAACAAATTGGTAATTTTCTCAATTTGATCTGATGTATAGAACATAGATTAAGGTGTTATGGAAAAAGTTCTTGGACTAGCGTAAAATTAAAACCATTTAAGGTTCATCATTTAATTTTTAAGTTTTAGACTACATAGTCTTTTCTATCTATACAATTTACTGTAAATCATAAGTTTTTATTTTTAATATTTTTTAAATGTTTTGTAAGCAATGGTATGTCCAGGCCACACAATTTCACAACATGAAGATTTCCACCTGATTGTAACTATAAGCATTTGTCATGTAATAAAATGAAAAATGAAAAACACCTCTACGCAATCAGACTAAAATCGATGTATTGCTTTTTGCTTTATTATCTGAACAACAGAAGTCAGTCATGTATGATTATCATTTATTTAATTAAAATAACTCTTTTCACCAAGGTTGTAAATATGTATGCTGATATTTATTATATTTTATAGAGTATAATGGACAATCAGTTTCAAAACGTAACAGAAAACATGAAAAACTTAGATTGTCCTGTAATTCTTCAAGTATCTATCGTTTTCATCAAACATTTTCCTTTCATTTCTTTTAGAGTAAGAAGCAAACCGGTAACTTCTAGTTTCGAAAGGGATCTTCTAAAATATTAATGACCATAAAAATGCGCTCAATTATCAATGAGTATACTCCATCTGTACAATTGTTTTATCTTGAAGAACAGATTAATGGTATTAAACACGTCAGGCGAAAAACGACCCAGTGATATGTACATATATATTTTACTTTGCTAACTAAGTATTATAACGACCCTAGCATTAACGATATGCCGATTCAAAAACGAGATTGTTGAAATACCTATAACATTAACTTTTCTGTCAGTAGCCTGTATCAGTCCCAAAGGTGTGTGCTCTTGAGTAACAAATAAGTTGGGAACGTAAACACTATATGCAGATGAGAGCAGATAATAATACATAAATAAGAAAAATTGACGACGGGAAAGCTGAAGTCACCTCGTTTGTCATACTTAAAGTTGTTTAGTTGGTCCTTATTGATTGTAGTCATTAAAACATCCAAAATATGAAACAGATGTGGCCAACTCTGTGATGGTTTTATTTTAAGTTCCTAAATCGACATAATCATGAAAGTAGCTAAAAACTAATTGACAATACATCGTCGATATATCTTAATGTCAAGTTGAAGACCGAGGCAAATGTTTTATTCTTCTGGAAATGAAAAAAGCATGTTAAATTATCGTAGTTACGAATAAAATTTTAATAATATTTAAGTTCACATTCACTACATTGAATTTCGACAATGGTAGATCATGTATTTCAACAAAGACGATAAAATATTAAATGCTTCTACATATGATTTTATTTATATTAAGCAGATATTCAATGTATGTACCTTTACCGCAAATATTTGAAATATAAAACTTTGGAGAAAAATACATTGTTCTCGGTTTGTAATTGAAAGCTAGACGGCTCTTTAATAAAACAATTGGCTGATCCTTGCGTTATGTCCTTCGCAAGTCAAGAAACCGTGATATGAGACATCACCAAATATACTTGAAAGGCTTCAACTTTACTCAACTTTAATAAACAATTTAGTTATAAAAATTTGAACCACTGTATCTCAAAATATAATTCAAATTGACTTGAGGAGTTAAAATTAATAAATCCAATGGATTATGGATAATCAATGCAGCATTAAATACGTATTAATATGAATTAAGACTTTTATCAGAGTGATTTTATCATAGGATTCTTTGATCATGGAACTGATGCATACAATGTGCACGTTAACTTTTTTGACAAGGAACTAGAAATCGCCAATGTGCTTCAAACATACACTGTAACAGAAAGAATTGAATAAGTCATTCAGAACTCCAGTTTTTAATTCAAATCATACAACATAATCTGATTTACATTTCATTTCCGGTTCCGGTTGCCTGGGTAGCTATATACGGACTATGAGGCAGATCCAGCAGCTTCTGGGAAGATATGACGTACACATTGTCTTCTAAAATTACAGTAGTACCCACATGGATATCTCCATATGTATACCTTTGTATTGGTATTATACAAGTATCTGTACACAGAAAAAAAAACAGATTTCAATCAACTTACCATGAAAATTAGCCTAATTAATAAAAAAGGGCAAATTTCTTCAACCTCACAAAGAAATCATGCATATGATTGTATTCCAAAGATACGATTAAATTAAGATTTGTGAAAGTGAATCTCTCAATATTTTTAATATATATCATATCGGGCTTTCGTTTTAGTCGTAATACCCAATAGTGAATGAAGCTTGATAACTTGGACATGTGTATTAATTAAAAGGAGATCCTTAGCAATTTATCCTGTTGAAAATATATTCAATTTTACTCTTTATTTGTAGCAAATGTGTAGCAAATATTTAATTTTAAAAATGCCAGTTTCTTTATGACGTGTACAAGTCAAGATATTGCAGTAACAACATCTGATCAAATAAACCGATTAATTACAATAAATTAAACTTACGCAAGACCCAACTGAAAAATCTGAAATGTAGAAAATGAAAGAGCAAATCTTTATTCACCATTACCAATGTCTCATTTTAAATGAACGAGTTTTAATAAATGTACTTATAACATACGTCAGAAATTCATAAAATCAACATGTATGATTTCGTCTCCACTATCAATTAAATCACTGCTTTGTCAGAGTGTATACATATAAAGCATTTTTTGTTTTAATTTAGCCCTCAAAGGTATTTTAGTCATCAGAGCATTGGTACGTGATCGCAAGATTGGATGATCGTTTTCCTATGTCAATAAAAATAGGCAGCGACTGTTCCTTCGCCAGGCGCTCGGTACTTTCAAGTACCTGTTCTTGAACGATGCCTTAAAACTAAGGCCCTATGTTACGGAATACGTTGATAAAGAATCCTAGCTGCTCAACTGCCCCGAGTGCCGAGAAAAAGTCTAAAATTGAAGCCCTTTATCTTTGACGTATCTATATGAGTGAAAAGTTCTCGGACGGGACGTAAAACAACATATATGTATACATGAAATTGATCTCACCTTCCACACATTCATTTGCCCCTGTAATGATTGGAAGACATATTTGACCCAAGGGACAGCCAGACTACAAATAAAATATCTCTCAAGTCAGGGTCTGTAACACTAAAATTCATTTGTTAATTTGACACAAGAGAAAAGGATCTTTTTATTTGAGAAAAGAACTTACTTGTCGGCAATCTTCAATGAAAAAAAGAAAACAAATAATTAAATGAAGGAAACACAATGCTGGAAGTTGTCATTCAGTTGAAAATCATGCACTACAGCTTATTACACAGCTTGAATTATTTCTTATAGTAAACTAGTAATAAAGCAGAGAATAAAATAGAATTCATGCTAGAAATAAGTGTGTTAAAGAATAAAATAGAATTCATGCTAGAAATAAGTGTGTTCATTTTATTTTAATTGAGAGAAGGGAAGGGTAGTTATTATTTTGACATACCTCTTAAACATTCATATCGCCTTGAGAAGGAATCGTATTGACATTCATAACCGAAAGGACATCTAAACTGAAATAATAATTTGTATGAAAATAGTAGCAGACCCTTAGTGACTTATGGTATCTTACCCTTATTAGCCCCAGTTTCAACTGAATTGAATGCACAACAGATATGTATGGACTGGATATTCAGTATATTTAGACATGACTTTCATGTTTTAGTATCAGTGTGTAAGCAGAGGACACACCCTAATTTATTACCTTGTCCTGTCCTCGTAGAATTATTCCTATTTAATATATTTTTTAAAAATCGAATCTAAAAAATCTAACCGGTGAAAAATATTTTTCAATCGTTTTTCTATTCCTAATGATCAAATATTTCTTTCCTTCAGATCATTTATTAATATTCTCAGTAATTTCTTTTATTTTCAAAAATACTTGTTTCCATAGTCTTCAGTGCAAGCTTCAACAAAAAATTACTGCTTAGGTAATAAAATCTTTGAAAAATTCCTCTTGGTAAATCCTTTTTCAACTACAAAAAGCATTCCTTGTCAGGAAACATTCATCTTTTGCGGTTTAACATGACCTCAACCAATTTCTACCTTTTTCTTAATTATGTCTCCTTAGAAGAGTCAGCGGACCTTTATTAAAACAAACTTATTACAAACTTTTATTACATATTACTTTTCTTTAAAAGCCATCGTTTGAAAACCGAACTCGATTAGTAACAAATCTACTGTTTTTAA